TGTCGAAATGAAATTCCGTCGATTCCAATAATTCTGGAATGTGGAATTTGATCTGTGGGAGTTGTCCATTTCAGATTCGGTGTCTTTTTGAGGATTTGAGGTCCTAAGTTGTGAAATTGTAGAAATTTTAGCCTTTGGGTTGGCTTTGGTTAACATTCGGGGTTCGGTTGTTCAAAACGGAATTTTGAGAGCTCCATTGGATTTGGGGGATGATTTTAGGCCTAGGTGAGATCTTGGTTGATTATTGAGAGGTCCCAAGCTTGTTTTAACCTTTTTAGACGTTGAGTTAATTTTTTGTGGTTTTCAAAAATGTCGGATCAAACAGACCTCAATTCGTGTTTTGATGGTTCCATTGAATCCGGAACATTGAGTATAATTGATTTGCATATGTGATTTGTGTTTACAAAATTTCGAACGAATCCCGAGGTCCTTTCGATGTTTCAAGAGCTTGCTGATTTTTCTGATTCTGGTATGCTTCGCTTTAGCAAACGGTGCTTCGCGATCGCGAAGATCGTAGAAGCAAGACCCTGATTGCGAAAGCAAGACCCTGATTGTGAAAGCAAGACCCATTAAATGAGTACTGAAAATAGATTATTTATAATTGTGAATTCAACTTGTATATAACATTAAAATAATTCACTTTTATTCTTACTATGCAGTATAACTTTTGTACTAAGAGGATTCACTTTTAACCTAGTTTTGCCATTGGGTAGGCTCAATGATCGATTAATTTAAATGTGAAAATCATTTATAAAGCTCTCTTTTCAACTTTGAGCTATAGGCATTTCTCCTCTCACATTTTAAGTAATGTATATATTATGCTTTACCTTATTAATTTCCATCACATACGTAATTTTTTATTGTTTTAGTATTAGAAACTCAATGATCCTTAAGGGAGAAACTGTGTTAACTAAAAATTTCTTTATTTTATAATTTTTAAAATTTAAGATCTTTTATTAAGGATGAAGGAACTTCATATGTATCACCACATTCCTTGATGTTTCTTAAATAAGATATATATTATTGAAATACTAACAAATATACAAACCTAATATTAGTAGAAACTAAATGTTTAGAAGTTAAAACTTTGACGACTCTATTTTTGATTAAAATGTATTTTAAATGTAATCGAGTAATAAAAGGAGTTGTTTGTACTTTATTTTAAATATATATTTCTAATGTGTTAGTATGATACGAAATTTTTTATTCTGTGTGAGGCGCACGTAGTGTCAGTTGTGTGGGGCCTTTTTGGGCTGCCATTTGTATATTGTGGGGCCATATTGTACTTGTTTCATTTTCTTACTTTTTCTCTTTCAATTTTAATCTTTTCTTTAACTTTTTTCTTTCTTACTTGCATTTTCTTTATTTGCTTGTCAACTCTTAGGGTGTGTTTGGTATGAAGGAAAACATTTTCCAATTTTCTCATGTTTGGTTGGGTTAAATGTTTTGAAAAATGTTTTCCAAATCAACTCATTTTCCTCAAATTTAAGGAAAATGACTTCCCTTCAAAACTTAAGGAAAACATTTTTCAAAACTCTCTTCCAACTTCCAATTAAAAAAAAAATTGTTGAAAAAATCAATTTATTTGATCCCTACCCTCAAACCAGCCCCCCTAATTAAAGTTTGTTTTTAAATTCAATATTTTTACCTCACCCTCACCCCTACCACCACCTCTCCCAAAAAAATATTAGAAGTTGTTTTTAAAAGATATTTCTAATTTCAATTTTTTATTTTTTTACACCCCCCACCTCCTACCCTCACCTCCCTAGCCCCCTATCAGCC